TATTAATAATCAAGTTAATCAGACTTATAAGATTATAACTTAGGCTTCGTTGGCAGAGAGGTCGCAAGTGCGGTCAAGCAAGGGGTCTCGATGGGTTTCGATTCCCGGGGTCGGGCATAGCACTACAGGGTTTTTAAAAAAAATCTCAATAGTAGCACGGAGTCTTGAATTGTTATCGGTATATGGCACTATGCCCATCCCTTATTACATGGGACTCATAACATAAATAGTGAAAAGTGTGTGTTATATTGTACAGTGACACTTCTTCCCGCCTCACCTTTGCGGGAGAAGGCATAGGATGAATATCCCCCCTCAAAAAATAAATAAATTACAATTAGATTTTAAATCTAAAGTAATTGAATTAACCTTACCACTATAGTATATTTGAGGCAACACTTTTAACAAGCACCTCAACTAACCACAACTTGACTTTGAGAGGTTGCTAATACTTCGTTTCATTGTTAGGTACCTACTCTACTCTACTCACTTTAGTATCTAATAATAATCTACTTTAATGAGATCCGCAGTATATTTTTGTTATATTTAAAATCTAAAAAGTACATAGAACATAACAACACGCCTCTTATCCCCGAAGGGGTAGGCAGAAGTGCACATTACGGCACTTAATGCCACTGTGCAATATAACACCCAATTTTCACTATTTATATTATGGGTTCAGGGCCGGGCCGGGCCGGGCCGGGCCGGGCCGGGCCGGGCCGGACCGGGCACAGTTCCAGACATCATACTACTACTGAGAATTTTCTTATAATGTAATCATTGACATTTATTTAATCCATTAAAATTAATGGGACCATCGATTGACTTGCAATCACTTTATTTAACATAGCTTACTGAAATCTATCTCTATCTCTATAAGCCAACTTCAAATGAAAGGGACGAAACGATACTAACTAGCCATACGAAACCAACTAGCCTATAATTTTACATTAACACGAAATACGTCTATCTCTATTTAATACCCTAGAAACGATAAAGACAGAAACTATAAACCAGCTGACCTACCACATTGCATTAACTCGTGTATTTGTGACAATAAATGTAATTCAGTACAGAGTGGCTAACATGAGTTTGTTTTAGGTTAACGCGATCGATACGTAACTACGTTTAGCTCTTTGATTGATTGTTTTTTTTATGGGTTAAGCCGGTAAACGAGGAGACGAATGGTAAGCAATCGGCTTCGCCCATAGACACCTGAAACAACAGAGGCGTTACAAGTGCCTTACCGGTCTTTTGGTAATTTTTTTTTAAATGTTGCCCCACTTCAGGATTTGCTCCTGTGTCGTGGGTGCGTGAATTGAGAATTAGTGGATTGTGGGGGGATTCGGGCATTGGGGCGGGGGGTAATTGGGCCTCCGTCGTTAACCACATGACGAAACTCAATGCTGTTGCACGTCGCTTTTCTGTAAGGCCGTGGCATCACGCCGGTCGAGCCGGCCCATTTATGCCGAAGCATGGCTCTCCCACACTTAATCTTATTCTGGTTAACTTTAAGTTAGCCAATCAGAATACGAAACGTCATAAACACGTCGATCGCGTTCACGTAAAACAAACTCGCTCTCAGTTTTACAGAGGCCTTAGTACGAATTTGTTGTGCGTTTAAAGTAATCGAACGCGTACGTTCAGCGCTCTGATTGGCCGGCCTCAATGAACCAGCCAATGAGAGCGCCGAATGCACTCGATACTATTACGTTACGAATGCGATAGTTATTCGTGCTTGGCACTCTGATCTCCAATACATTATTTACTGCTATATCATATTCAAGTAACAGATTTGTTAGTAATTATGTAGTTTAACGACAAAACTGGTTTCTCTTACATTTCATTTTACATGAGTAAGTGGAGCGGTTACCGTTTACTGCGTTGAGCATATTCAATTTCAATATTTGCTACTGTGGTTTTATGATATGATTTGATTTTATGAAAGACTAGATGATTTGAAAGGTATTAATAATTATTATTGTACTTGAAATAGGCACGCGGCGGCAGCCAGTTATCTAGCCACCGCACCAACTGCGCAGTCAATGGTTCACAAAATAATTACCAGATGGCTGTAGTAGTCAAAATATTTTGATAAAAACTATCGTGAGGCATACTAAATAAACTAAAAATCGTGGGTTACTCACTAGAAAATACTAAAAAAAGCTCTAGTTTCGAGCACTAAATTCAGTAGACTGCGCGACATCGCTCCGACCGCGCACGCTGCTCAAGAGGAAGAGCCCCTCTGTGGCTCGAAACCGATAGAGCTTTTCTCAGTATTTTCACGTGAGTAACCCGCGATTTTTATTTACTCCTATGATATTACTCGTACATTTATTAATAAACATAACTCAATACCATTAACGAATACAAAACTTTAAACAATCGCCAATACTATAAATATGTACCTCAACATTCTCTAGTGGAAAAAATATACAATATTAAATTACAATCGATAAATAAACTTAAGCAATTAAATATAAATAAAATAAAAATATGATTGTACAGTACGTTCACTGTGAAACGCGTTGGCGCAAATAAATGCTGAATGGTAACAATATGCCTCAACCTTGGTAGTTGACCGAGCGCGACACTGCCTGCTTGTAAGCCTGTCGCTCAATGTACGATTATTATTTTTGTGACAAGAAATTTGAGCCAATATTTGTTACAGAAGTTTTATTGGACTCGACAAATCATAACATTAAAACTCTCTGAGACATACTTAATTAATTATTATGGTTTCGGCTCACTCACGTAACTTTTTGACGCTCAGAATGCTGTTCATGAATATGAGCCTCTAGCATGGCTTGAAACTAGTCGAGTTTCTCGTCGAACAGTACGTGAGTAAGCCAAAAACATAATAATTATTATGTTTATTATTATGTAATCATAACATTCGTTTAAAATTTTAGAAGAATACTTCGTTGGTGTCAGACACCATCTGAATGTTGAAGTTTATTTTAAACTGAAATACCTAAATACAAGCAAAGAATCCAAGAATATTCCTATTTTATCAATATATCTTCATAACATTGCAATTACTGTAATTGTTTTTTGTAAATTTCTATAAACATAATAAAAAAAAAATTATCCTACTTAAGGCAGGCACACAAACATTTTGAGAACTCATTTCTATTTATAGACATTAATTATTATTATTTTGTATGTATTATATCATATCAACAAAGCCTCTAATATTACTTATTGTAAAGAAACACCAAATTCTGAAGTAAAAAATTGAACAAGCTAAATAAGAAAAGGTTTTCTTAGTTCGTACGAACTGATACAAAAAAGTCGAATGTATCACTCGCCTTACTTAAGTTGCTTGCTGTACATACATAGTTATGTTAAGTAGGTATAAGTTATAAGTTAAGGAGTGGCGCAACACTTTAATTGTTCCGACATGTTACACTTTTAACTTAACTGGATCGAATCGGAAATTCTTATCGATATTTCGAAATAAATCGAGTTGATCGATTTTTTAACACCACGTATAAATAAAATATACAGGCTCAACGGATATTTCAGTAATCACAAGCTCAACTTTTGAGTGTGAACCTCTGAGTTTGAATTCAGGCTATCTCCGGCTATACTTTTAATTTGTTCTAAGTTAAAAGTACCCTCAACCGACGAGCATGCATGAAAGATTGATGACTGTTGATGAAGCGAAAGAGTATGTAGGAATTGTAGCAATTGGCGTTCCATAGTCTCTGCCTACCCCTATGGGAGATAGGTGTAAACTTATGTATGTATGCTTTTCTAAATTATCGTTAGTCAGCATAAATAACAAAACTCGACTATTATTGCAACTCTTTATTTAATTCTACTCAATCGATTATTACAATCGCTTCTAGAACTGAACTCAAGACCTCACATTTATTCGACCACTCAACAAGTCACTAAAGTAATTATTAAGCTCATATCAAGTAAAACTAGTTTACAGCAAATTATATACTTAACCTGTGTCTTACTTTCAAAACGTTCGACTTATACTTAACTTAGCTGAGACTTGTAACTTACTGCGTCATAGCTTAAGTACTAACTTAGAGAAAACTTGTATTCTGACTCACTTTGAACTAAATAAATAGGTATTAAGTAAATAATAGAACAGATAACGGCACTAGTTTGTTATACTATCAGAAACCACTGAACTATATTAGATACATTTTAGCCTGTAAATAGACTGTGACCTTGACATTTTTCACAACGCAGAAGTTGTCCCCGAGACCACCTAATCGTCAAGGAACTGAATAAAAAGGTAGGTGAATTTCCTGGTGTATCCGAACCCTTGTGGTAGACAGTCACAATTATAACGATTTTACAAACAAGATAAACTATTACTTCTTGATAATATCAAAGGGAATAATTATTAAAAACCGTAAAAGCCTTTTAAAAATAACTAAAGTAGTTTGTTGAGTACAACCGACATTCCTTTCGATAAACAAGCTTTTCTTCCGTATACGTAGGCGCCGATTGTCCTATAAACCTTATGTACTGGTTCAGTCCACATCATTCTTAATTCGAATTGTCCAAATCCTGCCAGCCAACGCGATTGTATCTATTCACTTTGTTAAGTTCGTGTATGTTAATATGGAGTTATCGAGAACCGTTCGGTATTCAGACGTGTTTTATGTGTAGCCAGTTTTGTTTTAATTAGGGACATAGTTGTACCATACACTCCTTGTACAAAACAAAGGCATTGTTCATTTAGTATTAAATCAATTTAAACACTAGAGGTACTTTTCAAACAAAGAAGCAATCTATGCTATAGTGAAGCAAAGAAATTGTAATAGGGTTCCACAACTAGAGGCATTTAAATGAAGAGAAATAGAAGAAAAACTCTCCTCATTTTTTTTCGCAGAAAAGTTTCCTTTATTCAATTGTCCATATAGCTATGAGTTTTGCTTTGCCACTCAGGCCCAGTGGCCCCATATTGAATTTATGGCAACTGGAACATATGAAAAGATATATGTAACAAATATTATATTTTTAGTGTAACATACCTGAGAGGTCCTCAAGGCGCTGGTGACGGCGAGCAGCGCAAGCGCCGCCACGCACCACACACCGGCTCGCATCCTCATGCACTGCAACAAAAAACATACTTGTTATTATATACTTACAGGGTTTTTTAATACTTTATAAAATTGTAAACATGTTTGGAAGGAGAACATTGAAATGAATGGTACAGTTTTGTATGGATGAGGGCTAAAATTAATTAAATGAATAAATAAGGAAAATTAGGTATGTACTTTGGCGTAACGACCACGGACACACTACTAAAAAGTTAACATGTAGCGTTTATATGCCTTAGGGCCGATTTATTCAACGCCAGATAAATTTGAATATTTGACAATTCTTCTATGCTAAACACTATTGCCCGAATACTGAAACGTTACTCAATTTTAAGTCGTGTTTAAATATCGTGCCATCTCTGTCATATCATAAAGAATTTGTAGAGACAGAACTATACTTAAGCACGACTTAAAATTGAGTAGCGTTTCAGTATTCGACTTTATGTCAATTTTATTTAGTGTATCCAGTAACTGTCAATGTTATAAGATAAGAATTGGGTACTTGCCAGCTAGTCAAATTCAATACTTTTTTCGAACCATCAAAAACGCGAGTATTCTATGAATTTTGTACGAGATTGTGTATTGTGACGTCACGTTTTTTAACGCCAAACAGCATACTTATTTCTTAAAATTTGCAGGAAAAATACTCAAATTAAATTGATCATATAATCAATTAATGAAAATTTGATTATTTTTTTAATATTTCATTGTATCGAGCAGTCGAAATTATTTATTTTTTAATTAAGGAAAGTAACCAATTAACAAAAGATTGTAACATCGGCCTTTTTTTAAAAAAATACTTGTTTTACAGTCAACGTGCTAACAACCAGGTACTTAGAGATAAGGTGTTAATACGTATAGATAAACTTAACAAAGCTAACTGCAGCTGTAGCTTTACATAAGATATGTTAAGTTTATAGTATTTTAAAGCCTATACAAAAAAAAGAAATTAAGGGGAGGGTGCCGTGGAAGGCCTATAGCGGGTTGCTGGTGCTCTGGTTTGAAAAGCTGAAGTAGCAACGGACTGGTTTTTGGTCAGTAATAGTCTGACACTCCCTCTCGCCTAACTCAAGGCGGAAGAAGCCATTGGATGATTTTTTCTTTTCACAAAAAAAGAGGGTAAAAGTAATTTCCGTGTAGTGTAATAACCGAAAAACGTATCGATGTTTTCTATCTAAATAACTTCAAAAGACATTCAAGATTCAAGGGGGTCGCAGTTTGGCCTGATTTGAAGAAAGTAAAAACGTGTTTATTCTCTCTTAGTTTCAGTATACCACCTGGTTTAAAAAAAAAGTAGTATATGAAAATTATTGTCTAAAATATTTGTACATAGGGTGCCGCTGCATCATGGGCAACGCCACGGCTAACAGCCAGTTTAAGCCATAGGTAACAAATGTGAACGCTCCCATAAAAGCATCACTCTATCACATCATATCTATAAATCTGTCATTGAGCACTTTCACTATCACCACATACGATAGTATAGCTTTCGATTTCATACTACTACTGGATTTCTGGTGTCCTGGTACCTGATTTTAGATTTAGGAAGTTAATCATGATATATCATAACATAATATCGCGCCTTTTATCCCCAAAGGGGTAGGCAACGGTGCATTACGGCATTTAATGCCAATGTAACACCCACTTTTCACTATTTATATTATGAGTGCTATCGTATTGCCATAAACCGGGCACAGTTCCAGACTCCATACTACAAATGGCATTTTTTTTAAAACCTATACTTTGCCCGACCCGGGAATCGAACTCGAGACCCCTTGCCCGCAATCGTACTTGCGACCACTCGACCAACGAAGCAGTCAATCATGATAAATAAATATAAGAGAAGTAAATCACGATAAATAAAAATATTACAATGTTATTATAAGTATAGTTAGTAATAGTATAAGATATAAGATTGTGATGTTCCACTTAGTAAAAATAGCAATATTAAGTTAAGATAATTGGCAGGCGTAAATGAGAATTTTGACAGCATCTCTTTAAGTACTGTTTAGAAAAATCAAATTGAATCTCATCAATAATTTCTAATCCCGAGGATTAAGCACGAAGTTTCAATGACTTTTGAAAACTAGTTTTGAAACTAACACTTGATCAAAAATATGTGTATTTTATTTATTGCTTTCGTACTTTTTTTAATACCAAAAATATTATGGCGTGTATTATTATTATCTGAATATCAATCTTTCTACATTATCAGTAGCTGTTAATTACATTATTGAATGGTTAAACTTTTTTTTATTTTATTATTTATTCGACCGTGACATAAATCTACATCCTGATCAGAAAGTTTTCAATCTGATTAACTAATTGATTTTAGATTTATATGACTGTTAGTCTTATAATATCAATTACATTATGCTACTTAGTAATAAGTTAAATTTTGTATAGAACTTTTGTATAGTATAAAAAGTTTACTCATATTTAAAAAAAAAACTTTGCCCCCCACTAGGATTTTCTCCTGTGTCGTGGGTGCGTTTACAAACATACAAGTTCACATACACATCACACCCAGACCCGGAAAAACAATTTGTGGATCACACAAAGTGTTGTTCCGTGCGGGAATCGTACCCGCGACACGTTGCTCGGCAGCCGGTTGCCCAGCCACCGCACCAACCGTGCAGTCAATTTTGATGAGTAACCGATTATCTTCATAGCATCAGAAATGAAAACCTGTAGGAAACTCTTATGTAAAAACCACCTTTGTAACACGATAACAAAAATGGTGATAACATAGTGAATTCGCGTTCGAATGGCGGAACTTCGAATTTCAAAATTCAAAATTCGAAGGCCCGCCAACGCCTCGCTCGAGCGGGCCCCGCGCTCGCGCCAACAGTCGCCACCGAATAAGTGAGTGAGCGTGTTCGAAGACGCTCCGCGTTCCCGCCAATGTTCTCGGTTTTGGAATTCGTTGTGGAAACATCCAGCCCTAATCTGTTACAAAACTATTGAGGGTTTTCACCTCACTCAAGTCGCAGATGCAGCTTATTGATGTTAACATAAACCAATGAAACATGTGCTAACCTCAAGTAAACAGTCAGTTACTATTAACTTGTGATAGGCCTTCACTAGCGCAATATCGAAGACTTTCATTCATCAAACGTAAATAAGGACTCCAGGACGCTACAATAAACATCGCTCTCTTGTTCTTAAAAAAATAGTATTTCAAAACACCGAACAAAACAACAAAATCTATTTTACAAATCAAAATTTCGCAAATGATGCATCAATTGATCGTGGTACGCACCAATAATCGATTGATCAATTAGTAGGAGACCCGGCGCAGGCGCAGGTATGCATGCGGTGCAACACTTTCTATGACCACACGAGCCTAGATGCTATGTGGAGCGGTGTACTTACGTAATGTTTTATTTGTCGCTATTTACATGTGTTTAAGGTTCAAAATGATGTGTTTTACTAACAGAGAAAAAAAAAAGACAGCACACAGATTATCTGATATTCATATATTTCCGATTGTATTCTCAAAGGATGAAAAGAGATGAAGTACAAACTCTTTTCGCCTGTAACATTAATCTTTACGTATTTTTGGATGTTCCATTTCTTTCCTGTGTTTTATATCACAATACAGTTTTAGCATTCCTAAAAAAATTGTGCACATATTGTGCATCATATTGTGAACCTGATTGAAAAAGAATAACCTATTGAGTTCCTTGCTCGTTCTTCTCTATAGAAATCTACACCTAGGAAAGCAAATAGCTTCACTTTTAAATATTTGTTGATGTTCAAAAGTGGCTTTCTTGTCTAAATAAAATAAATTATTTTGACTTTTAATTAACAAGACTTGTGTTACATATATTTTTACCCTTTCATAACAGTAAATTAAAACCTACTGTAACACTTCTCTGCATCACCCTATGGTTGGCTGGTAGAGAATGCCACTCGGCATTAAACTGACAAATACCAAGCGGTCACCGGTGACCGCAACCTATTGTTCTATAATTGTGTCTACAAAACCGGTACTCGACGAGTTAAGTCCGCCATTGTATAGGTACAGTTATACATGAAGTGTTAAATTAATAAATAAAAAAATAAATCTTACATATTTTTTTTAAAAAAATCACAATGAAATCTAATTATTTAGACAGACAAAGGACACAGGACACAGGACACAGGACACCCTTCGAAACTAAACGAATATGCAATTGTATTACTCACTTCAATATGTGAATTTACCCGTAATCCCCGTAACTAGAACACGGGCTTTTACCGAGGTAATCAAGTGGTAATCGAATAACTAAGAAGTTTACTAACTTGAATACATTATCGTAAAGTTTTAATTAAGAATTTACATAGCTACGTCGGTATTTGGTAAAAAAGGACGATCAATCAAGTAGTTTGGTAGTGAAAATTCTTCAAGGCAAATAAGTATTACTGTATATTGTGCCACAGCTTATCGTCTAGGAAAGCTACGCAAATATTAACATTAAAATAATCGAAGAAATAATCGATTTTCTATATTATTATTACCTGATTGATTAAAGTTCAAAGTTATGGAATTATAAGTAAAATTAATTTAAATCTACATAACATAGTACCACGCCTTTTATCCCCGAAGGGGTAGGCCGAGGTATACATTATGCCACTGTACAATGTAACACCCACTTTTCACTTTAATTTTTTTTTTAATTGAAAATTTTTTTATGCATCTTGCTAACATTTCTTTAATTTATTAAGGTTATTTTAAGGTGTAAATATTTTAGTTTTTAGTTATTTGTATTGATAATATTAATAATACTTAGTTCCTATTCTTAAATATGCTCACCCCCTATTACATGGGACTCATAACATAAATAGTGAAAAGTGGATGTTATATTGTACAGTGGCATAATGTGCACCTCTGCTTACCCCTTCGGGGATAAAAGGCGTGATGTTATGTTATGCTATTCTTATATAACATTATTTTAAAATTTAAACCTTTATATTTCAATGTCAAACCGAATAAAAAGCGATGTCACATATTCTCTTCAGTCTCATAT